GTATTGCTTATTATTTTATTACTATTATTAATTATAAGAAAATCAGCTAACAAAATTTAAGTTAGCGCAATGAAGATTACTGGCCATTAATGTTCGTTAGACATTATTGTTCACTAGCCATTAATGTTCATTGGACATTACTGTTCACTAGCCATTAATGTTCATTAGACATTATTGTTCACTGGCCATAATTGTCCTGTTAAAAATTTAGTATATAAGTGGCAGAATTTCCTTTAATAAAAAAATAATAGTTTTTCAACAATAGTTTTTAACACGAATAAAAAAGAATTAAATACCCAAAATAATAAACAGTTCATCCAATCCTTGAAAAATCTGATAATTCCCTAAACACGAAAACATTGTTATTATTTCCCTTTACATTTTTATTGTAATAACTCTGAAAGATATAATTAATAAACATACCTGATTGTATAGAACGCCGACGTTGCAGGCAATACGATATCTATGTTATATTAGATTAGAAATTCCGATTATTATATTAAATTAGTAAAAATAATAAAACACAAACCTTCTGCTTACCTTAAAAGCTCTGTTTATAACCCATAAACACCAAAGAACTGCTATTAACATATATCTATAGGTAAAAAAAAATAAAAAAGTAAAGTCCGAAATTTACTAGGACAACTAGAACAACTAGGACGGACTATTTCTTTCCCTTTCATTCATCTTAATATTACCATCTAGCTATATTTCATCTGTCCTAGAAAACTTTGACAACTAGGACGGAAATTGGGATGGATTTTTAAGACAACTGGTGATAAAGTTGTATTATTTTACATCGCTTCTATACTTAATTGCCCACCAGTCCCTATATCGAAGCTAAGTCAGCCAGCTTTTTCTGATGGTAGTGTTCCTTTGATCTATGTTTTTTTACATGCGTATCACAATAATCCTATTTGGATCTTGTCGGCTCACCGCATTCTTTGCAAAAAACCTGTCTAGAGTTTCGGTGGACTTTACATCCCTTTGGATGATAGCATCTCCGATTGCATACTTTTCCAGTCCTAAGAATATATGGACAATTATATAATACCAGGGTGTCACCTTTTTTTCTGCCTTCCATTTATATGTATTAATTAATAATGTCAGGGAATTAATTTCATTTTAAACTTTTTTCTTACGAATAATATACCTTGAGTTAGGATATAGTATACCTTTCAAAAGTTATCTAAAAATGACACAATCAGAGTTTTTTGACGTCCTGCCCCACTTTTTCACCCAGAGGCTAAAAAAGATAAAATGGAAGCCCAAGTAATTCATTATTCTGCTAAAAAATACTTGTTGGATTTTTCAACACTGGATAATATAGTTGCGGGAAATGATGAGAGATTAACTCCAATACTCGAGAATGCTTTATCTAAATAACAAGATATTCCATTCATAGTTATTGAGAATGAAGGATCAACAGAAAGGATAAATGGAATGTACCGCTATGTATTGCATCTTTATAGTCATCTTATTAATAGCCAAAAGATACTGGTAACTCTTATAGACATTCAAGTTTTCTTTGACATTCTCGTATCAGATGGAGAGACTCCAGATGAATGTGAAGAAAAGGTGAACAAAATTCTCTCTGGTGTTGTGAAATCATTTAAAATAAAGCATATTAAAGTTTTCCCTTTTCGGGGTTATCATACTGAAAAAAAGTCATATTTACGAATTTATACGAATGAGAGAAAGAAAGCCATCCAAGCTATCCAAGAAAATAATTTCGAAATTGCTTCAGATGATTTATACTCATTCCACTGAAAGGTAGCTCGAGAAAATAGAATCCAACTCTCTGGGTGGTCTACAATAAACAAATATATACGTAAGAAAGGTAAGCAAACCAACCCACTTTGTTCGCATGAGTTCTTCATGTCTATAAAAGAATTTTGTTCACTAGAGGATTTCACAACAATAAGTGACCGATTCCCATTTCAGCTCTCTTACGAGATCGCACTCTTATTCTTACATGGGATATAGAAATATATGCCTCACAAATGGGAGAATTTACAGAAGTTCTTGAACAGAAAACAAGGTCTTTATGATTGGTATGACATTACATTGGAAAGATGATCCAAAACCATTAAAACAAATCTGTCTTGTTGACATTGAAACTGCGTCAGACCCACTATAGGTTACAATCATATGCGGAAATCAGGTAAATTTGCTAAAAGCTTTCACTCTCTGCTGCCGAGCATTTGCCCCTAACATTCAAGTTGGATTTAATGATTTTGATTATGATTGGCATTTTATTATGAAGAGAGCATATCATCTCAATATACTCGAATGGGTATAGGAGCGAATGACAGGAAAGTTCGAAACAAAGGAAAAAATCCTAAAGTGGAAATATTGTGGAAAGATAGGAACGAAATCTGAAAATAATTTCATGATGAAAGGAAAGAAAAAGAATACAGATGAAGAGGGGATTATATGGGGATCGGGTGAAGAAGTCGAGAAAAAAAAAGATTATATGGGAGCAATTAAGATCAAAATTACTGCAGAAGAGGATTTCTTTTCCAGTTTTCTTAAACTGCCACAATGTGTACTAATTGATATCCGAGTGTGTCTCAAAAAACGTTATCCCCATTCTGAAGTCGAAAAGGAAGGGTCACTTAAATTCTTCTTAAAAAAGTGTGACCTCGACACTAAAGCTGACATGCCATATGATGAAATGTGGAGAATCTATTCAGAGGCAAAAAAAGACCCTCTCCTTTAACTGCAAGAAAAATGCGAGAAGTAGCTAATTATTATATTATAGATGCATTACGTTGTCAAGAGCTTTTGGTAAAGCTAAGTCAAATAAATAATTACAGAGAAGTCGCTTCTATAGCTCATGTATTTTTGTTCGACTCACACTATCGTGCAAATGGAATGAAGGTACGAAACCTTTTAGGCGCTTATGCTTTTAAACGTGATATAGTATTTAGCTCAAGAGTATGTGAAAATATAGAAAAAGGAAAATATCCTGGTGCGTATGTTTTTCCACCTGAAAAGGTGATTGAAACGAGAAGACCTGTAAAGGGATTGGACTTTGCTTTATTATATCCCAGTCTCATCATGGCTTACAATCTCTCTCCAGATAAAATAATACTAACACATGAAGAGGCTGATATTGCAAAAAAAATGAAAACATTTTACATAAGATTGAGTTTCCATTCAATAATTGCATCGTCCAAGCTAGAAGTGTAAGACATGATAATAAATTTAAAAAGAAGGGCTTATATCCTGTTATATTAGAAGATTTATCTAACAAGAGGCTGGAGCTTAAAGCATGTCTGACCCCACTAGGAAAGAAAAGGCAACATCTTGAAAAGATAATAAGTTCAGCTAAAAAAAGAGGCAAAAGGATTCCAGAAAGCTTAAATTCGGAATATTCATTCGTATGCTTCGATTACGATTATTGGGATTTGAAGCAAAAAGCTTTAAAGGTATATATGAATACTTTTTATAGGGAGGCAGACAACTCAAAATCTCCAATCTTTCTCCATGAATTAGCTGAAGGAACTACTTCAACAGGAAAATATAACCTTAATCTTGTCGTAGAATTCGTAATAAAGAAAGGGTTTGGGATAAAATATGGTGATACCGTTTCTTTATATCTTACCTGCCCAGATAAGTATTATGAAAAATGGGATGAAGCCTTTTCCAGAAAAGATCTTTCTAAAGAAGCGTACTAGACCGAAATGGTCAATATTACTATGATTGTGATGAAAAGCTTGCGTGATCAAGTAAATGCTTATCTTGGGATAAAGA